GTTTTTATTAAATTAAGACAACGGTTTTTCTAAAGTTAAGTAACGATTTTTCAAGGTAGCACCCCAAATCAGTTTCGCAAAGTAAAAATGTTTAGTTTTCAAAGACTTTGCAAATTATTGCGCAACTCTGATTTTACAGTAAGGCGGGGTGTTACACTAAAAGTTACACACACACACATATATAAAAAACATATGAAAGAACAGTATAAAGTAAAAAAGTATTAAATCTGATAAATAATATTAAATTTATAATAAAGTTGTAACACTAAATTTATAATAAAGTTGTAACACTTACTAATAACTATGAAAAAAAAGTAATAAATAAAATTATTATAATAAGTAAAAGTAATTATAGAACTTTTAAAATTTTTACTTATCGATGGAAACGAGTCAAATTGTTCACCGCATGTTAATTTTATTAGTTATGTATATAAATTTTAGATGATAGACAATAGTTATTTATACTTCTATCCATGTCGGTTAGTAATTTATTTTTCTTAAAAACATTAATTATTTTGATTTTAAATAACGTTTTATTTGCTATTAATTTTTTTTATATAACATATAAATACCATATTATATATATACAATAATACTTCTCATTATTTAATAGGTAAGTGCAATAAATGTAATCCAATAAAAAAATTAATAGGTAATCTTGCGATAAAATAATGAGCGATTTTTACAAACATTATATGGACAAAAAGGTTCATGTGTTTAATATTTTTTAATAGAAAAATTGTAAATTCAATTAATTAATAACAAAACCTCCTACATAAAATTATATCACATAAAGGAATAAAAAAATGGTACATTACAATGAAAAGTCCAACGGTAAGACATTCGCTGAAATTTCAAAATGATATTTTATTTGTATAGCTGTCATTGTAAAATTTCGTTAACTATTCCAACAGAGATCAAATTACATTATGTTGAAATTTCAGTGGATTTAATAACTTCAGTTATCATTATTTATTATTGTGTGAATTTTCATTTGAATTATTTTTGACTCATATTTCAACAGGTGGAAAAAAGGTGGAAAAAATGTCACTGGAGTTGTAAAAATTTTAATGGAAGTTCTATTCGAAATGTACCTGCAGTGGTGGATACATAATAGTTTCATACTTGATGCATTATTTATAATGAGACAGATGATCGAAAAAATTCTATACTTTATATTATGTCTTTTTTGACAAATCTACAGTTAAGAACGAAGAAGATAAAGTTAAAAAAAAAAATGTAATAAATAATATGAAAAATAACTAAACTGTGACACGTACTACTTATGAAACAAAGTAATAAACAAAATTATTATAATTAATATAACTAAATATAAACCTTCTAAAAATATACTTATCGATGTAATCGAGCTGAGTTGTTAAACGCTTGTTTGTTTTTTGTCCTTAATAATTTTATATGTAAATTTGAGGTGATAGACAATAGTTATTTGTACTTTTATCCACGTAGGTTAAAAAAGAAAAAATCTTTATTATTATAATTTTAAATAACGTTTTATTTGCTATATTAGTTTTCTTTTAATATAATATATAAATATCATATTGAACATATAAAATAAGACATTATTTAATATTGTATATGTAAGAAATGTAACTCAATTGGTAAATTAATAGGTAATGTTGACATAAAATAATGAGTGATTTCTGAAAAAAAAAAAAATATAGCAAGTAAAAAGTTCACGCGTTTAATATATTTTTAATAGTAAAATTGTAAACACAATTAATCAATAAATACTACGTAAAAAATTAATGTTTGAGAGGACTACAAAAAATTGCTATATTGCAATGAAAAACTTAACGATAAAGTATTCTACTGAAAATTCAAACGAATATATTGCTTTCATTGGGAAATTTCATTGGCTATTCCAACACAGTTCAAATTAAATTACATGAACTTTAGTGGATTTAAAGATTTCAATTACCTGAATTTTCATTGGAATATTTTTTGGACCATATTTCAATCGTTGAAAAAATTGTCATTGTGCAAAAATTCAATAGAAGTTTATGATAGATCCAAAATAATTTCATATTGGGCATTATTTAGTTAATAGAAAAAATAAACCATCAAAAATAACATGTCATTGCAATTTATAAATTATACTTTACATAATCTATCACCTTTCTCATTTGTAATACATTTTTTATAAATCTGTACAATCACAATAAGGTAAAATATATTTAAAAACCAAAAGACAAGATTTTTTTTTTTCATTTCAACATAAGAAAATCATTATATTCTTGTTGTAATTTTTGGTGGAATTTTCTCATTTTCTTGTAGTAAAAGTAGGACTCCATATCTATAAAAAAATATTGCATTATATATAATATTGTGTGCAAAATATTATTATGAAAATTTTTGATATGATAGAAAATATAACACATTCAATGTAATTGGCGTTTAATTTATTAGTATTATAATAATTAAATAATGGGTAAGAATGATGAGAAACTTATAACTCCCCTTAAATCCAAAAGTAAAAATACTGATAAAATTACTTAATGTACAATATAAATTGGAGCTGGCTAATGAGAAATATAAACCATATATACTTAAGAGACACATATTTTAACTAGAAATTTTAAGTACATAATATATATATATATAATATATATACATATATATATATCTTTAAAAGTGGATATGTTAATATTAAAATTTTTTCAATTTTTATTGCTTTCTATCATTCATTTTTTTAATTTTTAAAATACTTCATATTTTTTATTTGTTACCCTTTTTATATGTAATATATCACACTATTTCTTTTCAATGATGTTTGAGTTGACCAATATACTACAAGTAAAAAAAAAAAACATATTTATTTATATCGATATAAAATAATATGTATATATATCAGTATTAATTTCAAATAATAAATTAATCTAAAAGTACATTATATAATAAATTTTATATTCAAGTTACATCAATTTTATTAAGTATAAAATAACATAATATAAACTTGTGGTATATTTTTCGTACATAGATTTGAAACAATTTATATTAAAAAAAGTAAAAAAATAGATGTAAACTTATAACTATTCCCAAATTATGGCTAGAGCGCCGAAATTCGATATATATTTGACACGGATTTGTCGTAATACCGAAAATATGGTGAATGCACCTTAGGTACAAACGAAGCGAAGCGAAGTGATGTCATATATAAAAAGAAAGACTAGATCAGGGAAGGGAAATGAGGGAAATGAGATAACATTAGCTATGTGAAATAAATGAGTTCTACGTTCAACTATTAGTCAATTACTGCTTGAAAAGGAACCATATAATGATGCTACCCTATAGGTATTCAGTGATTATGAAAATAACTTAGTTACTTAATATTTTATCAAACATTGGAAAAAATTTTAAACTTTTTAATCTACTAATTAGTATAAATAATACATTTTTATCAAATATATTAAATTATATTTTATCTTATGTGATTATATTAAATGTAGCCTAATAAATAAGATAATTTGATAACATCATTATATAAAGCACATACAAAAAATAACGCCATACATATAAATGCGCTTTAATTACTTAAGCAAATGAAATATTATTTGTCTATAGAATAAAAAATAAATAATATAATAGTAACGCAATGAGAACAAGAAAACGTGCGAATTTTCTCAGAGAAGTATGAATACCAATATTTACAAACAAATAGTTTTTTAAAATTACTACTTTTTCGTTGCTAGCGTCTAAATATATGGACTCTGTAAAAAATTGGTTTTCATAAATAATGATCATACATTATTTACGTTTAATTTTAAATAATAAAAAAATTCTAAAATTTGTAATACATAATGTATATTTTAATCATGACTCCATAATAATAAATTTTGCAGATGACTAAAATTATCGTAATATAATAAAATATTAATTCTTCTCTTGTCAAATATTTTTACCAATGATATGCTTTTCAATATTTTCTCATTGTTTTATTTTATCATTATTGGGGAATAAAGAAATATCTTTATCTTGAATTTTATAATCATTTTGTATGATGAGTAATGTTGGACAATAAAAGCATTAAAGAAGTTATTAGACACACAAATAATGCATATTCAAACAAATGGAAAAGGTATTACGATAAAAAATTCTAAAATCATTGCAACAACCATGATAGTCAATGATTTTCAAATAATAGATTATATTGTCCGTCTATATTCCAAATAAATAACACTGAAAATGAAGTGTAGGAGTATCAAAACAGTTTTGAATGTTCGAATGAAGTTGTCACTTTTTATAGAAATATTTATAATCTCATTGGTGTATTGTGCTCGAACATATGTGCAATTACTTTAGAGGTACTTTCATGTAATGTATGACGATTTCAAAAAATAATTTAGCACATTGGGAGAAGTACATGTAACCAAGATTTTGGAAAGTCAACTTTTATTTGGAGATAAATTCATTCCACCTCGTGAGGCGATGCATCAATGGGGTAGACACCAATATGTCTAAAGACAAAGGAATGTAGTAGTTTATACAATTATAAAAAATATCAACAATTTTAATAACACCGTTAGTTATTTCATAGAAATATTAATGCTTTGTTAGTAGAAGTACCTTATTATAAAGATCATACGATCATGAAGTTTAACTATATGTTGGGTCAGAATATTTCTTAAGTGCATGTGAATAAATTGACGTTTTGCAAAATTAATTAAGAGAAATTTTGCAATAGTATTGAAGTATTTAACTCCAATGGTTTATGAATGTTTCTTATGAGAACGTCAAACCAAAATGAAAGAAAATCTTTGTAAAACTTTATTTCACTATTTTTATATTAGGATATATTTCTAAATAAAAAAAATCATACATGAGTTCACTTGTTCTATGTTTTACTTCATTTCTGCAATGATATGTTTATAAATAAATTAATTTATTTTACAAACTTATTCAGTGAAAATCATTCAGACCCACGTGCATCGCACGTGCACTTTACTAGTATAAATAAAAATTTAAACCTGCTAGATGCATTTTGCAAACTAGTTCAGTAAGTATATGGAAAGTCTTTAAATTTTTGGTTGAAATCCTGGAGACACTGAAAAAGTTGATGTTTTCGTACTTACGCGAATATTTTGCATGTCGTGCATTTTATGGAGCAAAAATCGAATTCTTTATCAAGTACAAGGCGCGGACACGACTAGTTATGTGTTTTGCTTTGAATTTTATACGTATGGTCATTGTTCTATTAGTTTCAATTATTACTTGTTCTTTTGAAAAAAAAAATAGTGACAAGAAGTACCATCCATTGCACGGAAAATCCCTTCGAAGTCCGCTCGTTGATAAGGCAATAACAAGTCCAGAGCTTCCTTGCGTTGTTCGGGCGAAACTGCCATTATCATCTTTCTCACGGCCTTAATCCTCTCATCCGAAGCGAAAAACTAACAGACATGAAGATTCCATAGTGTCACAAGAACTGAATAAAAACCTCCAAAATTCATACTAGCTAGCATTTAGAGCAATGGAGGTGGTTGCAATTATTTTCAAATAAGGCATAGCTATAGCCTTAGCATTTTTCTCTGGTAATATCAAAGCACTGCTTGCTTTGCAAAATAGTTCAGTTATAGCATCAAGATTCCATTGAAATTAGGATCAAACTGTGATCCTGATATAGCTAGAGGACTATTTTGTTATCTTGGAAGCAATGTATTTTATATTACCAATCTATTTAGGTGTTGGTGTATTTCAAACTGCAATTTGCATTTAAGCACACACTATGATGGTCAGCGAAGGCTCGTAAAACTTACCATGTGCTCCGTTCTACACAAACCGATCCCTTCAGCTCCATTATTCCGTGCAGTGAGCGCATCTTCTGGTGTATCAGCATTTGCCATAACCTGTTATTGTCCCCAAACAGAGAATTAGCTTTCCTAACTCGATAAAGAGAGAAACAAGGTATTCACCAAAAATACCTTAAGTCGCCTAATCTCATCAGCCCACAACATGAAAACCTCCAAATCCCCGGTCAAAGCTGGAGGAGAAAGTGATTGTTTACCCAAAATCACTTCACCAGTCGAGCCATTTAGAGAAATCCAATCTCCTTCATTTACCACTTTGTCCCCAATCAAGACCATCTACACCGCCAACAACAAACAAACAAGAAATATAATTTTTTGGTCTCATACGATAGCTAGGATCACAATCCAACCTATATTTGGTCCGATTTCAATGAAATTATGCAACTTTATCGAGAATTGGTAACTACGACATGTTCCATACTTTAATGCAAAAAAATAATTCTTACGTCAACACAAACTTCTCAACTAACCAGCTGCCGACCGGTTCTAGTCAGCATTTAGGTAAATTTCAAACAAAATTGAAGGAAATACGTAAACTTATAAGACCTTCTCGGCGTCGTTCACGCGTATTTCGGAACAACCCGAAACACAGCATTTTCCCCAGCCACGAGCAACAACGGCCGCATGGGAAGTCATGCCGCCTCTAGCCGTCAAGATCCCGACAGCTGCATGCATGCCCCCAACATCCTCCGGACTTGTTTCAGTTCTCACCTTTCAAAAAAATCACAAAAGTGCACGAAAAAATTTCAGCTTTTCTTCTTCTTTTCTTTTTTCTTTTTTCAACAAAATGGAAACTTATCTTACAAGAATTACAGTCTTTCCTTGTGTATGCCATGCCTCAGCATCTTCAGCGCTGAATACGACCTGCCCCACTGCTGCACCAGGGGATGCCGGCAATCCTTTCGCTATTACTTGCTCTTTATAAGCAGATGGATTCTCAAACTACAACAAAAATAGATACTTCTATTAAAAAAAAATCACTAGCAAAATCGAATCAGAATAATTCTGAGCAACTATTTTCACAATTGGCATAAAACGTGTACCTGTGGATGAAGAAGCTGATCAAGATGCTGAGGCTCCACCATTTTCACCGCCTTGCGAGAGTCAATAAGCCCTTCATTCACCATGTCCACAGCTATTTTCACAGCTCCTTTACCCGTACGCTTTCCCGTTCTACACTGCAACATCCACAGCCTCTTCTCTTGCACCGTGAACTCGATATCCTGTTCCCAAAATTTCTTATTCATTTTCTTCCATCCAAAAAAAATAAGAAAAAAGATAAATATTTCTTACCATCATGTCTTTGTAATGACGCTCTAATATCTCGCAATTTTCGACCAGTTCCTTGTAAGCTTCCGGCATTGAATTCTTCATGGTGTCCAAATCCTGCGGCGTTCGGATTCCGGCCACAACATCTTCTCCCTAAACAGTGATTTTCATCAAACATGTCTTAAAAAGGATGCATAAAAGAAATTAAAATGCCAAAAAAAAAAGGATCAGGATCATTGAGACCTGAGCATTAATTAGAAACTCCCCATACAACTTCTTTTCTCCCGTGCTCGGGTTCCTCGTGAAAAGAACGCCCGTCCCAGAAGTATTTCCCATGTTTCCAAACACCATGCACTGAATGTTTACAGCTGTGCCTTTAAGACCAGTTATTTGGTTAATCGCTCGATATTTTATCGCCCGAGGGCTGTCCCACGAGTTGAAAACTGCTTTCACCGCTAGTTCCAGCTGCTTAGTTGGATCTATAGTGGAAAAAAAGAATGAAAATACAGTTAAAAAAGAGAAGCAAAAGCCTTTTCAAAGAGAGAAACAGTTGAAAAAGAATGATATACAGTTTTTACCTGATGGGAATTTATCACCCTTTGCTTCAAGGTAGACACCTTTGTATTCCTCGACGAGCTCTTTCAGATCAGAAGCTGTCAGATCAGTGTCGAGCCTTACGCCTTTTTTTATTTTCATCATTTCCAGTTTCTCCTCAAACAGAGAATGCGGGATGTCGAGAACCTTGTAGTAGAAATCAGCATTACCCAAAATTCAAAACTACGCCTTTTTTTTTTCTTGCAAGAAGTATATGTGAACATCATGTCAAATTTTTTATAATCGGGGCATCAAAGGTGGAAGCGCACTGTAAGAGGGTGATCCTAGTTTCACCTTAGTGAGGATCCATCACAAAATCAATTGGTGTTGGAAGAAGTAGCTCACTAGGCTTATAAACTAGGCGCTCAGTTACCCTATCAAATCAATGCGGGACGATCCACAAGTGGTATTCCAACACATCACATCACAGAGAATATAAAGTGAAAAATGATTTTGGATAAGAAAACGTACAACGCCTCCGAACATATCAAGGAACCGTCTATAAGAGTCGTACGCAAATCTTTCTCCACTTTTGGCAGCTAAACCGGCAACAACCTCATCATTTAGCCCCAGGTTAAGAACAGTGTCCATCATACCAGGCATAGAAATCTATATCCAACAACACAATGTGATCAAGTAATGTATGCATTAAAAGAGCAGAACAAGCTGTAGACATAACTATAACAACTAAATATAACTCCTAAATACAATCAATGCGATACCAACAACACGAAACGAAAGGAACTTACAGCAGCACCGGATCGAACGGAAAGCAGGAGAGGCTTAGTGGGGTCACCAAGAAAAGCTCCAATATCACTCTCCACAATTTTCAAAGCTTCCATGATCTCGTCCCACAATCCTTGCGGCAATTTCTTGCCCACTTGCTGATACTCTTGACAAGCTTCGGTCGAGATCGTGAGGCCCGGCGGCACGGATAAACCGATGCTCGCCATCTCGGCAAGGTTCGCTCCTTTTCCTCCCAACTGGTGCAAACAAACAAACATGTTAGCTTCAACATTATTCTTACTGTTTATTTAAACAGAGTTGAAAAGATTTTACCAATGATTTCATGCCCTTGTTACCCTCACTCCTCCCCTTGCCGAAAGTGAAAACTCTCTGTGCATTGGAGAAAAAAAAAAAAACAGAAATAACATGAGAATTTCAGCATACCAGGAAATGCTACGGTCCCGTTATGAAACCATTTCGTTGGAGTTCGTAACCGTTAGATCATTATGTAACTATCAAGAAAACCCAACGGAATGGTTTCATAGCAGAAGCGTAACATCTCTCCACCAATATATATCAAGAAATATCCTTTTTAAGCCATAATTGAGACTGGAGATATCTAACAAAAAAACCCATTTATGCTCTGTTTTCATTCATATCAAAGATTTTAAAAGGCTACTACCTTCATGGCGTCTCAGATGAAGAAGAACTGAAGAACCCTTTTTTTTTTTT